CTTTAGAATTAGGACTTCTTTAACCAAAAGACTCTGAAAATTGGTGGGAAATAAGTGATTATGTGATTGATCCTTCATAAGTGATTTTGAGGAAGCAAGGGGCCATGTTGTTCACTTGAAAATGACCTCTAGGAGATGACTGATGTAGCCTCCAACTGATAACCAGAAAGAAGCTGAAGCCCTTACCCCTACAATAGGAAGAAACTGAATTTTTCTAATAACTGCAATGAGACTGGGAACATATTCATCTCCACTGAAACCTTAGATAAAACAGTACCTCTAGCAGTCTTAGTTGCAATCTAGTAAAATCCTTAAGCTATGCCTAGACTCCTGACCAATAGAAACAGTGAGGTGACAAATGTGTGTTACCATTAGTCTGTGATAATAGTGTTACATAGATGTCTTAAGTGCCATGGGTTGTTAAATGCATGTGACTTAAAAAAAAACAAATACTCATTTCTCACAAGGGATCTAGAAGATCTAACTCGAGGAAGGTGCCGGGCAATCTGACTCCTCATAAGGGCCAGAGGGCTTCCCAGCTGGCAGATGGCAGTCTCTTCTTATAAGGGTCCAAATCCCATTGTGGGATTTCATTGACCCTAACTACCGCAATGGAGACTAGAGATTCATTTGGGCAAGACACAAGCATTCCATCCATAGTAGATAGTAAATGACTAAATGGATGACCTTCATGAGCTAGGTTATCATTTAGTGTAGTATGCTTGTATAAAGGAAACTTCAGTACTGAAGAGGGGGGCTTGTTAATGAAATTTATTTAAAAGGAAAGATTTATCATGTTGAGACAACTCTCCACAGAGGCAAATTTCTACTGTGTCTTGCAAGTCAGAGATTGTCTGTCCTCTCCTTGAGTAGGAAACAATGTTGGGCAATAGAGACTATGTTGCCTTTTAAACTGAAGGGAGGTGGACATTCTTATTTTTCTTCACTAAGAATTTTGTGTTCCCATGAAACAACATAATATATGGTCATTTGGTCTTTTTCACATCACCTGTGGGAAATGGAACTCTGGAAACTGGTATAAAGATGCTAATTCTCTGTGTTGCTGCTGCTGTTGGTGATAAACTGTCCTTTATCTGTGACCCAGTAGTTTGATGGCTTCTACCATCACTTATGAACTGGCCAGCAAATAAGGTTAAAAACTCTGTCTTCTCAGGAAAATCAGAAAACAGATATCATTGTAGAGTACATATTTCACCAGGGAAATTGGAAAGCTTTTGTTTTCTTTAGAGGCAGACATGCAATATTGTGTAAAATTCCTTAGTTCTGTAAGTAATACAGAGGCTGAATAGATTAATGAGAATTTAAGCCATGTAATTCTTCTCTCTGAACACACGGTGTCACTACTACTCTACTAGCAACTACTACTTACCCTTCCTTGGTGAAGTCATCAAACTTGGACACGGTAGGCATGGAACACGGCCACATACCTTATCACAGAAGAATTCTAGAAAGTAATTTGTGCCAGTTGTTGGCTCCCAGGGCTCGGGAGGCAGAGGCAGGTGGATCTGTGAGTTTGAGGCCATCCTGGTCTACCGAATGAGTTCCAAGATAGCCAGGGCTATTACACAGAGAAACCCTGTCTCAGAAAGAAAAAGAAAAAAAAAAAAGTAACTCCTTAGCTGTTGTTTGTGTAGGTGTTCCTGTCAACCCTTTTCACAAAACTGCTATTTGGTGCCATCTAAATTCTATTCAAGTCACCGTTTCAAGATTGTTGCTATTAATTTAGTAATTTTAGAAACAACAGTCCAATAGCTAAAATGGGAGGGGGGATTTGCTAGTTAAAATAAAAATTGAGAATCAATAATTGGATATAAAAAGTATTAAGCTTTTTACTATTCTTATCTTTTATTAGTCTCCATATGTCAATTTATTTTCAAGTTTTAAAATTTGGAGGTTCGTGTGTGTGTGTTGTGTGTGTGTGTGTGTATACATCACAGTGTATTATATGGAGTTGTTTATCTCATACTACCATCTGAATCCTGGAGATTGAAATCAGGCCATCCGGCTTGGTGGCTAGTATCTTTACCAACTGAGCTATCTCTCAGGCCCTTCAGTTTAATAATCTAATATAGTTCCTCTTGGGGGAAGTAGGTAATTGATGCTTTTCTTGGGTTTGAATATGCAAACAATAATTGGGTATGCTGTATATTCTTAATTTCTACTCAATATAAAATAAACCATCGTAGCCTGCAAGCATGTAGGATGAGAAAGAAAAGTGAAGCTTAATGCTTACTCATTCACCAAAGGGAAAAGGAAAGAGTAACCACATATATAGGCTAGTTATAGCATCCTAAAACAAGAGTAAAGTTGCTGAGTACAAATTAATAAATGTTTCCCTTTTAAAATGAGATCTCTTGTTTGTTTTTTAGAGATCATCATGCTCTGAGACCTTGGCTGGACTTGAACCCAGTACACAACTCAGGCTGGCCTCAAATTCTGTATCCTCCTGCTTCAGCCTCCTGAGGGCTGGGATTAGAAGTTTGTTCTACCATTCCCAGTTTGCTCTTCTTTCTGTTCATGAGCAGGAAACTATTCTACCTCAAAGAAGCAGCCTTTGCAGATCATGGTGTTCAAGAGTCAGCCAAGGGTTTAATTACAGTTTCAGATAGATCAATGTAAAAAAAAATCAAGGGCAGAAGCTTGCTCTGCCTGGGATTTGCAGCTACTAAGAATGTCAGACAGAGAACTGTTGTGGTCAGTCAATACCAATTCTGTCAAGAAATAAAAGGGGGGGGGGTTCCAGCACAAAAATAAAATTCTCATATCAAAGAGGATAAGAGATAGTTTATTCTGGAGACAAATATGAATGGCCATGATCTGGGAACACAGTTTCACATTACCCCAAATTCCACATTCCAGTATGACAACAGTCTCGTGTAGTTTTAAATAAAGTGACAAAGAAAACCATAAATCGAGATACCTCCCAAATATACTGATAAAAACACAAGGTTGACAGGTCACAAGAAGGTGAGGAAATCTCAGCTATACCCATAGCCTCAGATAGTATTCTTAGCCTTTTGCTGGGTGGGAACTAGAGGGTCTGTTTGTACATTCCAAAGTATTTATTCACCTAATGCTCACAAAGATATGAGGTCATGTACTGAATTGGCTGTGGACTAACATTCCACCCTCACTACATTAAAGTTCTAATCAACTGGTCAGCCTTGCAGGAAGTTCAGAGTGAGTTGGGATTTATTCCAGGAACTTTCCTTCACAAAGGGAAAAATGGGATGAAAAAAAAAATCAAGCTACAAAAAGGTTTAGTTTTCTTTTTTCACTCTTTTGGCCTACAATTTGTATCAAACTCAATCCTCAGAATTCCCTAAATTTTCCAGTTCTCCTTTTTTCTTCCTTATTCATTTACTATATTTTAAAAATGCAGTAGCACAAGTAAATACAGGTCATTGGTTTTGAAATGAAAGCTACTTTGCATTTAGATACATTGCATGGGATAGTAAATGCCACACTGAGGTAGAGCCTCAGGAGCTATGGAACTCTGAATGTCAGTTTGTTATGAAGACTAAATGTCTCTGGAACTCAGCACCACATAGAAGCTATTATACTGGAGATTATACTGTCCCTACTTAGATTTAAGAAATGTCAGGAAAAAGTATTTTTAATTTAATTAATTGGTGTAGTGACAAATATATTGGACAATTTATACTAAACGCATTTGGAAACTGAAGTACATAACTCAATTGTTAGAGTCTAGCATTCCAGAAGCCCTTATAATCCAGGCATGGATGACACACACTTGTAATTCCAACATTTAATAATCAGTTCAGGGTCATCCAGCTTAGGGTACAGACCCTGTCTAAAATGTTTGTATTTTTAAAAATAACACCCTCTCCTGCCATTAGCTCAAAGCTAGCATAAGGAAGGCACTCAAGCATGTGCCCAGTCCCATCTTAGTGAATTTCTGTAGTTAGAATTGAAGCAATGGAGGGTTTTACATTTTCACTATCAGTTACCTTTTTATTCACGTATCCAGCACACACACACACACACACACACACACACACACACAGAGAGAGAGAGAGAGAGAGAGAGAGAGAGAGAGAGAGAGAGAGAGAGAGCATGACAATTGAAACTAGGCAAAAAAAAAAAAAAAAAAAAAAAAAAAAAAAAACCACCCCTTCAGATCCTCTTTCATAACTACTGTGTCTGTCATGAAGAGTTAACTCAAGATTTTCGTATATGCCTGAAAGGGATAGGAGGTAGGAGACTTTTGCCCCCAACATCTGCAAATTGTGCAATGTGAAGGGGGAAGGGCAGGAAGAAGGGAGATCATGAAATGCCCCAGGATCTGGTAGTCAAAGGAACTGGCTTTCACTAATGGTTTCTCTTACGGCTCTCAGAGAAGTCGTTTGGTTTTCTTAGGCTATAGTTTCAATATCTATGCGAGGGGTTTGGAGGCCTCTCAGCCGTCTCTCCACTCTCCATCTTTGCAAAACCTGCTCAAACACTTTAACAGTCTGGGTGAAATGAGCATGTCAGTTTGGATGCAGAAAAGTCCATGAGACCCCAACGCTATGTGAAAAACTATAGGCAACAAAGCAAAGCTGGGAATGGGAAAAGAGTCCTTCCCCAGGGAAAAACACACAAAATTAGTTGTTTAGTGCCAAAAGGTCAACCCTTAAAACATGCATACAGGTAGCATCATACTGAACTGAACATGTTATAAACTTAGGAATATATATGCATGCAATTAGTAAAAAGAAAGAGAAAAAAGTAGAAGAGGCCCTGAATTTGAAGGACAGCATGGAAGGGGTATGCATATGTGAGGGTTTGTAGGGAGGAAAGAGAAAGGGAAAATGTTGCAATTAAATTGCAATCTCGAAAATAGAAACAACACTCTGGGCGACCTTTTAACCTTGGCGCCTGCGCCGCAGCCATGCCCTTTGGTCAAAGCCCTTGTTCCGCTTCTTTTGCTCACGCGGATCTTAGGCTCTCTTCCGTTCTGAGAGGCGGGACTTCCTGTCCCCTTTATCGCGACTGCGGAAGTGGGTGCAGACAACTCAGGTTGGCCGCCGCTCGTGATCTTTGAGCGTGTTCGCTCGCTGCTGTTTTCGGCTGGAAAGATGCCGGGTCTGGCCGCTGCCGCCGGCCCTGCCCCGCCCGAGACTCAGGAGAAGAAGCCGCTGAAGCCATGCTGCGCCTGCCCGGAGACCAAGAAGGCGCGCGATGCGTGGTCAGTGCGCAGCCGGGGAGGGGCGGCCGGGCTTCCGCAGGCTCGGCTCCGCTCTGCTCTCAGGCTCTCCGGAGTAACGGGAACCCGTAGCTTCGCATCCGTCCCTGCTCTCTGAGCGTGCACCTCAGTCTCAGTTAGGGTAACGGGAGAGGGCGAGAGGTCAGGTTGGCCCCCAAGGCTCTCGCCCTTTATTCCTTGCTGCCATGCTCTTTACCCTTCTTAGGTATTAGGTCCAGAAACATAGACGTGCGTAAAGACGCTATTTGACTTACAGGAACTTAAAATATGTGGAGCTCTGCTAACAGCCATTACCGTGTCCATTGGCTACGATAAATTTAGCAAGACAAAAGTGTAAAGTTGTCAGGTAATTTCTAAGAATTTTTGCAAAACGTGAGCGTGTAGTAGGACTCAGGATAGATTTCTGTACGGATACATTTTCCACTTTTAACGGGCCGAAAGTCAAAAGGCAGCCTGTCTGGTGCAGGAGAGATGGCTCTGTGTTTTAAGAGAACTGGTTGCCTTTCTAGAGCACCTGGCTTCGATTCCCAACACCCACCTGGTTGCTAACAAGCATCTTTAACTCCAGTCCCAGAGGAGTCCAACGCCTTCTTCTGGCTTTTACGGGCACTGTATATACATGGTGTACAGAAAAACACGCAGGCCAAACAACCACACAAATAAATAAAAACATACATTTTAAAACTTGTCTACAATATAGGTGACATTAATATTCATCTTATCAAGTCATGAAAGGTTTTGTTTGAGCTCATTTTTATGATGTCTCAATTCTGGCTCAGATGTCATTAGGCATCCTCAGATAATGTAATTATATTTCTCTATCTGTTTGTCCCATCAAAGTAGAAAAATAATAGAAACGGATACGGGTACTCATACCTGTAATCTCATTTCTGAGGAGACTGAAGCAGGAGGATTGCCACAGTTCAAGTCTGAACAACAGAGTGAGACCAAGTCTTTAAAAAAGCATACACAAAAGAGAAATTATTTGTCGGTGTGGTAAGAGGTACCAGGGTAAGGAGGGTACCCTGGTACGCTATTATTATCACTGCTTTGCAAGCCATACTGTAAATGGAGAATTTAGAGGTCGGTCTGATGCCGAGGGCCCTGCAATCGTAATACCTGCTTATGGAAACTTTAGGAAGTGTGATGTCAAGATTAAGAGCTTAGAAATAGAGGCAGACCTTGAAGCCTGATCCTCTGACTTGGTGACTTTGTGCAAGGTACTTAACATATCTGCCTCCCTTGTGTATTGAATGAGTCCAACATTTCTGTAAGGTTGCTATTATACAGAACTCACTGTCCCTCTCATTTGCTGGTAAGGATTTTAATAGTAAACCCCATTTCCCAACTCCTTTTGAGACAGACAGCCCAAGCTGGCTGGCCTCCTATGCAGAATTTTCCAGCCTCAGCTTCCAAACAAGGTTTTAGACATGTGTCAGTATATTCTAATTCTTATGGTTACTTGATAGATTTTATGAAGAAAATGTTCCTTAATCTTTCAACGAAGGATTCGTCTTGTGGCTCCTGGCTACCAGATCTTTAATTTTATGTTGTTGGGTGTCTAATGATTAAAAGTAGGTTTAAGTGTGTTTGAATATAAGGAGAAACTGCAAGTTAATTTCTGTGTGATGATAGGCCCACAAGTTAAGCTCTTCCCTTCGTTAAATACATTTTATTCAGTTTATTTCACTATAAAGAAATGTTTATCATTCCTTGGGTATAGACTAAAGATGTCATTTGTTATACACAATTGTTTCACCTAGTTAGAACCTTCCCCAAACAACAACAAAAACACACCTCAAAGCCTTATTTGTGTGGAACATCTTTGTTATTTCTATGGGACATCTTTGTGGGCATGGAACTATCATAAGAACAAATTCAGAGAGCAAAGGAGCCGAGCTGTTTGGTATAGTAGAGTTTTGTTAAGTTTTGTTTCTAACTTCAGCCACATTCTGTGTACTCACTGTCTCACCGCCCCCAACACCCGTATTCCCCATGAATGTGCTTAATGTCTGTTTATTAGGTAACCATTGCATTTTGTTTTACAGCATCATTGAGAAAGGAGAAGAACACTGTGGACATCTCATTGAGGCCCACAAGGAATGCATGAGAGCACTGGGGTTTAAGATATGACATGGTGAGTGAACTGTATTGCTTCAAGAGTTAGCTGCTGGGCAGCATTCTCTCCTGTTTCAGTAGCACTTAAAGGTAACTTTTCAGTTCCTGGTGTGGGTTGGTGAATGAAGGCAACAGTTTGAGAGCAGCCAGGAAGTCCGAGACAGAGTGTGAAGCTTTTGATAACTGGTTTGACAAGAGCCTTTGGAGTCACACCACAGTCAGAGCGACTCCCTCCCGCTCGTGGGAAGTTCAAGTGCCCTGTTTTATTCAGCTGCTGTTTTAAAGTCTTGTTAGTGAGGCTTTCCCACTATGCCCCATGTGAAACAGGGGCATGTTTCCAGCCATATCCAGTAGGCCTTCCTACGGTGGTAGAGGTATCTTGTAGCCACGTTATCCAGCTTGGTAAACACTAGCCACGTGTGGCTGTTAAGCAGTTGATGGGCCTAATGAGGTGTGGGGGAGGGGGACTGATTCTTAATTTAGAAAGAGGTAAACAGTTGTAGGTGGCCAGCAGCTACTCATGTCTTTATGGTCACCACATGTATACTGGGCATCTTCTTACAATGGTTACCCTGCCTACCCAGGCTAGGATGTGTGCTCTGGGAGGCATCCTTTTCACTCCCAGCCTGTCCTGGGCACCTAGACCACTGCCTGGCACATAGCAGGTGCCAAATAGGGTACTATTAAGTGAATGAGTGAATGAATAGGGAAATTAACGGTGGTTCAGTGTGGCAGGATTCCTGAGGTGGGCTTAGCAGAATCGGACCTGGAACCTCAGCCTCCAGGCAAACATTCTATTTATGCCTCTCTCAAGTCACACCTCGCTGCCACTCCTAATTTAGTAACAGCGGAGAGATACCAGCGCCACATGCCAGCTTGATAATAATGGGAGCTGGTGTCTTTCTCTTTCACCTCTCCTTGCAATGTCACACGTGACTCCTCATAGTCTTTGAAGTATAGAAAGGCGATGAGTGCCAGGTACCCGGTAAGAAGTGTTTGGAGGAGAGCGTTGGAACACACAGGCCCCAGCATCTAGCTATTTCTCCACCATTATGTTAGGCTTTGCCTAGAGCATCACAGGGGAATTGGAGCCTCACTGAAGGGTAGTGGTGGGATTACACTCTCCAAACAGAGGCAGTCTGCGTTTTCCTCCTAACACTTCGTGAGCTCTTATGGCCAGCATGCTCATTTTGGGGATTGTACATTATCCACTCTTCAATACTAAGACTTACAGTGAATGCTAATGAGAAGGAACTGTTGCTGGAATGCATGGGAGCATAAACATCAAAATAAGCCCCTGACTGCAGTAACTCCAGCACAGCTACCCGCCCTGGTCCGAGATGAGCTTGATTAAATTGCTGTGTCTCTTAGACTGGTAGACCTTATTTTCTGAGAACCTCTTCAGCAGTGGATATGAAAGTTCCTTAATTCAAAACCTAAATAGATGTTAATTGGGACTGGCTCGCAGCAGATGGGGATAAGTGTTATTCTCTCTTATGCTCTATCTCAAATTACTCTACATCAGCCAGTGGTTCTCACCTAGAGCTGGACCTCAGAAACACCAGAGGAACACTTTCCAGAGTCACAGGCCACGGCCTCACCTGCTGACTCCAACTCCTGGATGATTTTCAAGTCATCCGACTGCTAAGACTAGAGAAACGGGCTATGCTAAATATAAAGTACCTGAAGATTTGATGGTAGCCGAGAGAGAGAGAGAGAGAGAGAGAGAGAGAGAGAGAGAGACTTGGAAACTATAAAGAAAAAAAATAGATATCATGGTAGTGACTCTAGACAGTCTTCAATCTTATAACTTTCTCTTACTGAGAGAAGGTAGACAAATCCAGCACCCAATTAGAAATATCAGGGAGTGAGTGGCTCTTACCTTCCTGCTTTTAAGGGTCAAAAGAAACATGCAAAACCCGCTAAAATCAAATTAAAGTAATGGCGATGCTATGATTTATGTGTTTAATTGAACTTTATTTTATACATATATTATTTACAAGAGTATCTCAAGGGGCTGGAGAGATGGCTCAGAGGTTAAGAGGACTGACTGCTCTTCCAGAGGTCCTGAGTTCAATTCCCAGCAAGCACATGATGGCTCACAGCCATCTATAATGAGATCTGGTGCCCTTTTCTGAAATGCAGGCAGAACACAATACATAGTAAGTACATCTTTAAGAAAAAAAAAAAAAAGTTAAAAAAGTATCTCTAGATAATGCATTACAGGATTACAGGGATGATTTTTAACATTCAAACTTAAAAACAAGACAAAACACCTATTAAGACCCTATAAAATGCTAAATGCAAAAGACAGTTGCACCTGCCAGGGGACTCCCCACCCAGAGAAGAACCAAGAAAGAGTTTGTACCCTCTTTCACAGCCATCCCCTTCTAATGTGTAGCTGGTGGTACCAAGAAGTCAGGGTGCGACAGGCTGTTGAAACGGTGCACAACTCCGTTTCTGGTTCCTTTTCCTGCTCAGACCTTTGCTTGAGTTTATTGTTCTTCCTTTAGGCTTTTTAGGAAAAAGCAAATTTAGGTGTCTGTGCCTCGTTGAGGCTTATTTCCTGTCTAAATCAAAGGGAACAGGGTTAGGAAGTTCTTGCATTAGACTTGGCTGCCGAGTAACCGTCTTTTCAATGACGCTCTCCATCTTCTTGCATAGGGGCTAGGGTGGGGCCAGGTAAGGGGCCAGAAGCCTGGCACCGTGGAGACCAGGCCAGCAGTGCTGTCCTCCGCTTCTGTCCCTCTGGGTCTTCTGTGGACTTGGAGGCTTGCCTTTGTTTGCTCCTGGGTCAAGGAGGAGCTTCCCACAGGAACTGTTGCTCAACTGACCTTTTCCTTCCACCTTTAACTGGGAGTGTTGCCAGAAGTGCTTGCAGGTCTCTCCTATTTAATGTCTAAAAGCACAGTGCTTGGCATGTTTCTAAAGGTTCTTTTATGAAAATCGTGTTTTCAACTTGCCAAAAGCTTCCAAAATTAGTTACTGTAATGAACAGTTTCAGGGGTGTTGTTAGTTAAGCTAAACTAGAATTTTGAAAAGCAATCTTTGTTTCATGCCTGGTTTAGAAGAACTGAATATGCAGTTACTGAATATTTCAGGGAGACATTTTTTTCTGATAGTCTTAAGCCCCTGAGTCCCTAGGTCTGCTTTGATGTTTGAACTCTGACTTTCTAAAATAAAATCTCTCCTGTAGGTGGCCTACCTTGTGAATGAATGATCCCTGAAGAATGAAGAAGAGTAAATATTTTCAAAGGTCTTTGAACTTTGATAAATGGATAAAGTATTTATGATTTATTAAAAAACAAAAGGAAAGAAAACGTGGTACACAGTCCTCATTGTGGTTATTTTTCTGTTGCTCACATACCCACATAACTTTTGTTCAGTTTCCTTTTTATCTTACAGCCTATAGTAGCAACTCTTGTGCTGTGAGTTTCTGTTGCTCATTATCCTGACATCATGGGATAGGACAGATATTGTTAAGAGAAAGCAGATTTTTCTCTCAACCAGTAAAACCCCCCCAAATTCGGTATATAGAAATAGGAATGAACATCTTTTACCTGGTCAAAATGACGACATAGCCATATCATCTCTGTCAAGACTCACAATTGACCATATTTTGCCTATTAGTGCATTGAGTTGAAAATCTCAAATACAGGCTGGAGAGTCAGCTCAGTGGCTGAGAACTTGCCTGGTATGTATATACAAGGCCTTGAGTTCTAAACTCACACAAATAAAAAAAAAAAAAAAAAAAAAAACCTCAAAGATGCTAAGGAATATGACTAAAGGAATATTTAATCTTCACGTGTGGTAGGCTGGCAAGGTTGATTTCCTTTATAGAATAAAAGTTCAGATCCTTAAGACTCTGACCTAATTAATTGGTTAAGTGTCTGCTTTTTTTTTTTTCTATTTTCCCCCTTTTGTTCTGGTAGTAGTCTTTGTGCTGGGGTTGGAGCTAGAGCCTTAGGCAAGCAAGGAAAGCGTTCTGCCGGTAAGCTTTGTCCCTAGCCCTGTGTTCACTGTTTATATTGTGACAGAGACAGGGTCTCACTAAGTTCCCCAGGCTGGACCTGGATATGCTCTGAGGCCTTCAACTAGAATCCTGCTTTATCCTCTGAGTAGCTGGGAGTACAGCCCCTACAAGTTGATGGCTTTGAAGGACGACAGACTTGGGTTTAACCACCGGTTATGTGCTGTCAGTAAGTCACAGTGTCTTTGAATCTGTTTTCTCATCTGAAAAGAAACAATCTAAGGTTTTATGAGCACTGATGTCATTATCAATCACCTGGCCTTTAACGTGTAGTGTTACTAGAATTCTCTAATTCTTTGATTCATTAGTCATAGTTTTACTTATATGGGTTTGGATATAACACTTTTAATAAATGCTGTACAGTTTATAGAGACAACCAACTTCCCAATCCAGGTAGATTGTTTTTTGTTTGTTCCTTTTGTTTTTTGAGACAGTTTCTCTGTGTGGCTTTGTGGACCAGGCTGGCCTCAAACTCACAGAGATCCATTCTCCTGCCCTTGGTAGATTGTTACTCATATTGCTTACATATGCCCTAGATTACAAAAGGGAGAGAAGAGAGATCTACAACCCCAGCAGCCAATACTAAGTTTTAAATAAGTTGTTGCTGACACCCTCTGTATTTACATTTGGAGAAAGATGAGACAGGGTCTTTTTTGTAGTTCAGGTAGCCTTGAACCTGTGCCCTTGCCTCTGCTTCCTGTGGTCTGCAGTTACAGGTATGTGCAGTCATACTCTATATTATAGAGAATAAATTTATTTTTATCTTATGCGTCTAAGTGTTTTCCTGTATGTATGTCTGTACCATGTGCATACTGGTGTCCTCAGAGGCCAGAAGGTATCAGAGACCCCAGGACTGCAGTTACCACTGTTGTGTGGGTGCTGAGAACTGGACAGGGCTCCTTTGCAAGAGCAGCAAACACTCAAGTTATACATATTTTAAAGTGGAAAGAAGACTTTTTGCTTTGTTTTTTTTTTTATATGTACACCTTTATGCAGTTTCTCAGAACTGTGAATTTTGTTATGTACCACAAAATTAGTGGGGTTTTTTTTTGGGGGGGTCACTTTTTTATGTTATAACATTTTGTCCTCAAGATTTTTTTTGTCGTTGTTTACACGGTGTTTATGTATCCCTAACTGCCCGGCAACTCACTTATGTAGAGCAGGATGGCCTCTGACTCATGGAGATCTTCCTGGCTTTGCCTCCTGACAGAGGCATTATTATGAATCATTACATGTTGAACACAATAAATGTTTTTATTACAATTTTTCCAAGAGGCTGGAGATGTGGCTTAGTGATTAAGAGCAATGTCTACTCTTCCAGAGGTTCTGGGTTCAATTCCAAACATGCATACTAGCTCAGAATTTTCTGTTAATCCAGCTTTAAGGGAATCTGACTAGTGTCTCTGGCCTCTTCAGTGCACAGAAATAATGGCAGTGCAACCACAGATACACACACACAAAGAAAAACAACAAAACTTTTCCCAGTTACTTTTGCAGATGTTATTTTCATATAAGTCCTGTAAAATTTAAGATTTAAGGCATTCACACATTTCTTATCCTTGTTTTTATGATTTCTAAGCAGAGAATTGTAGATAAAGCTATATCGTATTATTTGCAATGGTATCTTTCACCCCACTGTTAATTTTCTGATGTCTTCTAAGATTAAATATCCAAATAAATGACATGTCATAGTCTTTGCATTTGTATGGTCTTTCTCTAGTATGAACTTTCTGATGTGTTCTAAGATATGAATTAAGGATAAAGGATTTGTCACATTCCATACATTTGTAAGGTTTATCTCCAGTATGAATTTCTGATAGTTTCAAAGATTTGAGGACATGTTAAAGGATTTGTCACATACCTCACATTTGTAAGGCTTCTTTCCAGTATGGATTCAGTAATGTCTTTTAATACGTAATTCTTCAAGAAAGGATTTACCACAGTCTTTGCATTTGTACAATTCCTCTAGAGAATGAGTTTTCCGATGTCTTCTAAATGATGAGTAGTGGGTAAAGGATCTGTCACAGTCCTTGCATTGAATGGCTTCTCTCCAGTGTGGAGTTTTAGATGTGTTTTAAGACTTGAGTACTGAGTAAAGGATTTGTCACAAACATTGCACTTGTAGGGTGTCTCTCCAGTATGGATTCTCGAGGTAGTACTGAGGTCTTTCCCACATTTTTCACACTGGTGTGCTTTCTCACCCATGTGGACTGATTGCTGCACAAGACCGTATGTAGACCCAGAATAGTCATCACATTCTTCCTGCCTGTGATCTCTTTGCAGTGTAGAGTCTCTCTGATCTTGAGTAATGCTGGAACACAAATTTAAAGATCCCTCATAGTCTAGATTTGCAAGGTTCTTCTCCAGTGTGCATGCTTTCATGTCTATCTGGGTTTGATGAGTCAATGGAGGCATGCCTGTGATTACTGCATCTGTAGTTATTAGAGTTTTCTGTAGTTTCAGTTGTTCTATAGAGTACACATGTGGAGGGGTCACGAGCACTTTGCCAAGCTTATTACACTGACAACACTCCTTTTCAGCCTTCACATATTGATGCACAGGATCACATTTGCAATAGTTCTCTGGGACAGATTAACTGGAGAATCAGCCATCTCTTTCTGTTTCTCTTCTTTGAGTTTCTCTTTCAGGCTTGCTTCCCTGGATCCTTAGCTTCTGTCTCCTTCTCCATCTTCCAGGCCCCCTTGTTCTGCTGCACAGGTGAGCAGGTCTGGGTGATCAGTAAGCCCCCTGGGAGGTTCCAGGGCCGCCGGGCTGCGGTTCCCACCATTGCACTGCTGACTGCTGACTTTCCCAGGCTGCCCTGCGCAGAGACTGCAGCTCTGGAGTTTGCAGGTCCCCGCAGCACCCACTGTGTCCTCTGCACCCCCAGATCTGCAGCCCAGGATTCCACACCATGCAAGACCCTGAGCAACGACAGGGAATGGGCACTGGGCACTGCTGTCTGTGGCTTCTCTGCCCAACTTACCTGGGCTCATTCGGAAATAAGACTTTTAAAAAATATTTTTATATATTCTTATTTACTAATGAGATTATATTATCTTTTCCCCTTAGTGTATTGCTCTTAGTTAATAGAATTCTGTATCATTAGATGTGTGAATTCTGTGTCTTACTGTAACTTTATTACATTGTATGTGTGCTTAGTATGTATGTGTCAATACCCCTCCAACAATCACATCTCAGGCCAGGGCAGGTGGTGTCATACATAAATTCTGGTGTGTGTGTGTGTGTGTGTGTGTGTGTGTGTGTGTGTGTGTGTGTGTGTGTTTGACAGAGACAGAGAGAGATGATGTTGGCTGGTTTTATGGTTATGTGAAGAAATCACCAGAAACCCACCAGCCTATCACTCAGTGAAGGGTAGGCCAGGGCAGGTGGTGTCATACATAAATTCTGGTGTGTGTGTGTGTGTTTGACAGAGACAGAGAGAGATGATGTTGGCTGGTTTTATGGTTATGTGAAGAAATCACCAGAAACCCACCAGCCTATCACTCAGTGAAGGGTAACTAGAGGTTATGCATGTTTTCAAGGCTGCTGATGGATACTGCCCAGTTCATATTTAGAAAGGCAATATCCATGTGTTTCTTAGTGTCTGAGGGGTCTCCTTTCCCTTGGCTCAGAGGTGATGCATTGATATTTTGACCTTTTCCAGTTTGGTACAATCACCTGATTTGTAAGGAACTAAAGCACCCATTGACAGTACATCCCAGAAGGCCCTTTGCCTGCCCTTCCCTGGTACACAACCTTCTTAGAGATGGTATGCAGCATTTCAGGACTACCACTTAAATATTAACACAATGATAAAAAAAAAAGTAAAGAATTTGATCTCGTAGATGACTGCCAAATCCTGACACACCTTATAACTATGTCTTTCTTATGCTCAGTAATTCCTAAACTCGGTATAGATGCATTTACACTTTGTCTAACAGTTCCCTTTGTCTAATGTTGAAACGATCAACTTCAAAGTTAATGGAAACAGGCCATGTCCCCAGGCAGGGCCAGTCCTAGAATTACTCTGCCTTCCACGGGTCTGGGGTGATGCTTCTGGAGAAACTATAATCCCCACTTTACAGGTGAGGTGAGTACAGGTGTTCAGAGACAAAAAGCTGACAGCCTGTCATGTTGACATCTGAGCCCAGTGCTGACTATATGAGATACCTGATAAAAAGTCACACTTGTAGATATATATTTACCCAGTACATACTTAGTAAAGGCTGATGATGTGTTGGAACAGCCCCAAATATTACTGCTTCCTCTGTTGGAATGGAGAATGAC